CTCTGCTCTGTAGGATGATATTTTCATAGAAAGATTCGAAGATAACCAAAATTTATTTGTAAATTACTAGACATGCAAAAAGACAAGAGTGCATGCATTTAAAAAACAAGATTAAAAACTAACAAAAAGCGGGGCAGAGATATCACTCAATGGTAGAACACTGGCTGAGTATGCACAAGGCCCTGGATTTGATTCCTAGTGCATGAACATGAATACACACACACACACACACACACACACACACACACATTTGATAAATATTTTAGAAATTAATAGGCAAAAACGTGTAAGTGAATATGATTAATATATTTAAGTAAGTAAAGGGAAAGATGGAATAAATAAATAAAAATGTTGAAAATGTCATCAACAAGTTAGAATATATAAAAATAAATGAAAACTTTATAACTGAAAATAAAATAACCGAAATTAGGAACTCTGAAGATGGATATATATCCTCAACACAGTTGAAGAGTAGATAATAAACTGTAAAATGAATTAATGAAATCTTGAAAATTGAAGCACGAGAAGAAATGACAATAAGAAAAAGCTTAAGAGAAATGAAAGACATAATGGAACATCTAGCATGTATGTTTTTGGAGCCCATAAGAAGAGCAGCAATAGAACAGGTAGCATTGGTAGGTGAATTATATAGTTGGCCACACATTTTCAAAAAGTGAGTTAAAATAGCAACCTGAGAAAGAAAACACAGCCAAAATTAAATGTGGCCACAGAATGGTAAAACTACTCACATATGAGAACAAAAATAAAATTACAAAACAGTCAAAATAATAGAAGCAGTTTCTTTAAAAAGCATCAAGATTGACAGTATGTTCCTAGAGGACAAAATAAAACCAAAAGACAATGCAATGATATCCTAATTACTCTTAAGAATACTATTCCCAGAGAAACATTCTCCGAAAATTAAGAAGAAATACAACTTTTCAGGTAAATAGGTACTGAAGTAATTAATTGCTATCAGAGTTAAAATATTAAAAAAATATTAAAGAGAAATCTCCAGACAGATGGAAAAAAATCTGGGAGGAAAAAATATGAGGAAAGGATTGAATAAGGATTAAGTAAACAAAGTGAATATTAAAGTTAAGTAACAATCATAGTAATAATTTAGAGGTTTACAATGTATATAGAATTAAAATGAATCTTAATAAAAAGAGTGGAGTGCGTAATTTGAGTCCAGCTATAGTCAAGAATATGTATTTTACTATGGTGACCAAAAAAAGACAAAGGAGTTAGATGCAGTAGTGCATGCCTATAATCCCAGCAGCTCAAGAGGCTGAGGCTGGAGGATCGAGTTCAAAGTTATCTCAGCTATCAGTGAGGCCCTAAGCAACTCATGGAGACCATGTCTCTAAATAAAACATAAAAAGGGCTGGGGATTTGGCTCAAGAGTTCAATGTGCCTGGTTTCAATCCCCACTAGCAAAAAAAGGCAAAGGGAAAAGAATGTATGACTGAGGGAAAATAAAATGATAAAAAGATAAGTAATCTAAAAGAAGATGAAATGATATAAAACAGGTGCTTAACATGGAAAACAATAGCATAAACATACCTACAACTCCCAATCAGCAATTAAAGTGAATATAAAGGGGTTAAATATTTTGACTAGAAGATAAA